ATTTTAAGGATATTAAAGATTACATTTATTTAAACGGTGAAAAATACAGACCACAAGATATTTCACCCATAAATATTTTCAGTTTTGTAACCTTAAAAAACGAAATTCTCGCCTTTCTAGGATGGCCCTATTACATCTTTAAAAGATTAACTATCTTATACGCTATGTTTAATTTTATAGGATTTCTTTTCTCACTGTTAAAAGGAATATATAACACATGCGCTATATACACACAAGTAAACCGCCCAGCAAGTGTAGCACGTATATTAATTGCAGGATTTTTTGGAATTTTCTCATCATCAATCAATAAAATACTTTTAGATGCACAAATAAAAGAATATAATACAAAAATATCCACAAGACCAAACACATATGACGAAGAACATAATAATGTAGATATAACACCTACAGCACCACAGATACCAACCCTACCACAAAACCATCCATTATCATTAGTTCCCCGAAATTTTCGAAACCTAGCAACCACAAATAATCCAAATTTCAGACCAAATACAACACACCCATTCAACACATAATGACAAATCATTGACAAAATGATAATACATATGAACAAATTATCGAACAACCTCATACCACCACTTTTCAGTCTCAAAAAAATCATTTTTTTAGCCCACGATGAGCCGACAAATTGGATCCCTCCATCGCTCAAAGTCCCACCCAGCCAACCTCCACACTCAAATCCCAATTATCCCACTTTTTGCTTTCCCGCCACCCGATTCTCCAGTTATTAATATACCATCAAGCATGAATTCTGATACTTACTCAGATATTTCAGTTTTTCATACCATCTCACAATTTAACAACTCCGATGTAGAAACTCCCGACGAATTCGCAGACTCCGAACCATCTCCCTCTACCCATACCCAGACCATTTCTTCAGCTTTTTCAAAAACCCCCTTTCGACCCATCCAAACCAGTCATCCACTCTCATCCCTTTCCACTCCTTCTTACGCTTCCCAAGTAACCCCAACCTATTCTCCATTTAATTCCGACAAATCGCATAACAACTCCCCAGATAACATTCAAACTTCCGAAGAACTTGACAATTTTATTACACTACAACATTAATTAACATACCCCCGCACTCTTACGATACATCAACTATCATCAACAGTAACATCATCAAATCCAAACACCTACACCACTTTCAGATTACACTCCATCATTAGCTCAATCATCCACATCCACCGAAACACCTACCAGCACTAACCGAGCTTACCGCACTTTTAAACGAAAATTCCCAAATCACCCATTTACAACCAAACCCGGAACAGCCAGAGAATATATCAACCACCCAGATCACACAAACACAAAAAATTACCTTCAAATAACCCTACCCTCTTTTCCACAATATACATTAAATACTTCTACCACAACTAATGAAATACGAAATTTTGTTGATGAGCACGTTTTAATGCCAACACTTCGTTGGACAGCTTACTACAACTATACTAACCCCCTTTATCTACCACTCACTAATACTAATGAAAACATCGAGAGAAACAAAAATATACTATATAGACTCACCACATCATTAACACCTCGACAATTTACATACGTTGGATATAAAAAATTATTAAAAACATTCACCGCACCCCGAGCTAACGATTACTCAAATTAATACTACGATCATAATATCATCCGTCCTAACCAAGATCAATTTTTAGACGAAGACCGCTTTGCAAACCCGCAACTAACCGAAACAATTTTTATTAAAACACCATACCCATTTACACTTAATATTTTTGATAAAAAGCACGATCATATAATTTCAGAAGCACTAGTTGACATACAAGCATATGAAAGCTTCTATGATAAATTTCAGTTATTTTCACTAACCTTTCACCATAGGAACGCGATTTGCACTGTTCCCACGATATAATGTTACGCACTAAACAAACGCACACTTACATATATTATCGTTTTATACAAAACCATTTTGATTAACACACACCATCACGACAACCCCACCACCGTTTTCAGTTTCTTAACTCGAAATACACGTCACCATTCTTTCTTAATTTTACATATTGCATTAAAAATACTAACCTCCACGGCATCCTCCGCAACTACGACCCAGTTACCCAAATGTATATATTCTGTCCCATCACGAAGACCTTCAAGGATGAAGAATCAAGACCCTTCATTATCCCGCATAAATTCATACAACCTATCGAAATACCCATACTGGAATTTATTCATAACACTAAATATAATCATAAAATTTACAACCTAATCCAAAACACACCTCATGAATTCGCAGTAGGCACAGAAGAACTAAACACCATCAACGCACTTCAATTGCTTTGGCCACTGCTACAAACTAAAAATGTTATACGCATACTAGCCAAGTTATTAACAACATCAGACTTGATTCACGACATCTTCCCACATGGCTTTTTCCCAGATGAATAAGGTAAATATGAATTAAAATAATTTTAACTAAAAAATTCAAAATTGTACTAACCATTTTCTATCAATGTTTAATTTATTCTTTTAGTCTTCACACCACAATCATCTACAAAACAGAAAAAAGACAATTAAAAATACAAACTTGTTAATTTAAAAATACAAACTTGTAAAAATACCTACTCGTTACAAGGCATCCCATCATTTATAAAATATTTCCCCAAGAAGCAGTAAAATTAAATACGATGAAAATTTATAATTTTAAACTTCCCCAAAAGCAGTAAAATTCAATTTCTAAGCAATAAATTCGTAAAATGAGAAAGCAGTACTAACTTTTTCAATTTTTTCATTTATTCGCACAAAAATTCTATCCAAACTCGCACAGCTCGCCCACGGAGAATTGTTTAAATAATGATTTTATGTTTCAAGTTTTCACTACCAACAACTCAAACAAGCAATAACAAGTTTCCAACTTTTCTTTAACCCGGTTGGAAAGGAACTATATACTAAGCCAAAGTAACCAACGCAGCTTACTAAACACCACAAATCATAAAATAACAGCATGACTAAGAAAAGAAAACCAACGGTACCCAAACCGGATTAACCCAGTTTAAAACTGGATAATATATTCTTTTGAAGACTATTATAAAGTCTAAGAAAGAAATATTAAAAACACAAAAAAGTCGTAAGACAAACCCAAACCAAAAACAATTTGATTTTTGAAAAAAGGACAACCAAAGTAACATAAGAAAGACCAGAAAAAACCAACATAAAATGTTATCACATAACAGGACCTCTCAAAGAAACAGCATGAAATCAAATTCCCACTCCTGGCCTAACCCACCAGAGAAGGACGTCCTGAGCATGCTTATAGCCGGCCTAACCCACCGCGCTACACCCACGCTTTGTGACCACACTTCAATTTTAAATAAGAGGTACTCAAGGGTGAGTAACTATTCAAAATAACTGAACTAAAATAAAACGCTTTTGTGAAAACAACTAACTAAGATCATGACTAAAAACCAAATTAACAAATATTTATAAAATGTAAATCATAATATGCAGTATATAGATCATACACATCAACAAAGACGAACATCCAAAGACTAGACGATCCCATCACACTCGAACAAAAGAATGGCTAAACACAACCGACATGCCGTCCACAATCACGACTCAAAGGATTTAGAGTACGACTTGACTTCGCAGAAAAGGACTTCATTGAACTAGACCAATGACCACCTCGATGTTCAAGTATACGTACAGATCCGAGTTATAAGGCATCCCTTCCAAACACGATTTTCACGCCATTCCCAGACGAGGCTAAACACAAAACAGTTCTCTACTAATACAGAAAAATCTGACATAGCAAACCATTTTGAAATCGGATTGATTTCATTGGTGATCACAATCGTTGTCGAATGACAAGATAACAACTTCCTGTCCATAATTCCAGCGTCCTGGAACGTTCTTCTTCAAGAGGAACCGGATAAGAAACTGATGTTCGCCAAATACCAACGTGCATCATCCATCCTTCAATTACAGAAAGAAAGATAAATCTAAAAACTCTGTAAACCCCGGATGGGTGGAACCTGATCTAAACTACATTTTATTATTGGATAAATTAGATATTTTATCACTATAAAATATTTAATATTAACCAATCATATTCCATCTAACTAACAACCCACTTATTTGGAAGTGCTGAAATTACTTGTAATTTCAGCACCAGAGAGATTTAAATTTAACTTAGAAATTAGTTACCTCTCCAAGAGAACTTCAGCAGTCGCAATAAGCCAGTATACTCTAGATCTATTGAGCCTAGCAGAGACTAGTTAAACACCCTGAGACTAGTAGATATAAGAGTAAGATTAGGATCGGTATTAGACTAAGAAGTTGCACGAATCTATCCGGCCAAAAATAAGATAGCGTGACGAGCAGACGGTGTACCCTATCCGAAATTACTCTATGAGTTATACATCCCTAACACATAACTCACAAGGAAACAGAAAGAAAAAAATGCTGACAAGAAATTTTGAATTTTAAAGAAAAATTATATGGCCTTAAAGCTCTTAGATTTTCAAGAACAAATTATGCTCGACACTTTTCTGATAAAATTGATTTAATTTGAGAAACCTGGATCAATAGCTAATTTTTTTTACGCCGGGAAATCAGAAAATTAAATTTCATTTTCGAAACTAGAATTCGATCACGTTTTTCGTGACTTTTTCATTTTAGCTGTTCGATAGTGGAGTTACCCTCCCTTTCAACAAAGGAAATGAAGTGAGCTTAAAAATAAATCAAAACTGAAACCGCGAAAAAACGAATTTTAGCTAGAACAAATATTATGACTTTTTCCCGAAAAAAAGAACAAACAAAAAAAATCATTCAGACCTATGTAAGAAAATTCACTACGTTTATGACACAAAATGGTAACTGAAAAGTTTTAAAATATTTCAAAATATTTTGGCTGCTAACTTCCACAAAACTTAAAAATCATAAATTTTTAAACAAATGAAGCATAACAGCATTAATGATCAAAATGATGATATGGCTCCACACATCCATACTTGTTTCGCTCTGACATTTGTGAGTGCGTTATAGCACTCGTTGTTGAGGTCAGTGATGACTCTGACCACTGACTCATGTAGCTCTCTCATCTGCATGGGAGTGGAGGAGAGGAACCCAGTTGCCCCCTCCTGACTTATTCTCTGCTTCACCTCCAAAAGACGCAGCTGCAGTCTGTTCAGCACCTGAAAAATGCGAAAACTTCCATTTTTTGTTACTGGAGAACTTGCATCAAGAAAATGCATCATAATCACATAGGGGATACATACAGCAACCATAAAAGGCGGGTTCAAATCTGACGAACTATCAAGGATATGGAATGTGCTGGAAATTTATTTTTGCTATTTTGTTGGTCTGTAATTATACAGATATTCTAAATCATGAAGATGAAACACGCGGAGCTTTTTACACATTTTCATACATTACATAAATGAATTCAATTCAATTCGAAACTTTCGTCGACTGAAAAATTTGAGTAACGCTTGCTAATAGAAAATAATTGAAAGCTTTAGAATACAGAGGCGAATATTTCTACCCGTGGTTCATCGGAAGTTCATCCGTGGTTCATCGGAGTCCATGTTTTACCTGAATAGTTCCGTTCTCAGGAGAAGCTTCCGCATCGGCTGGTCCCGTCTTCAGATTCTCCTGTAGAATCATGAACTTCACTTTGTGCTCCACTATCTGCTTCAGCTTATCGCCCAGAGTCTTCAGCCTCAGTTCCCGGTTGCGGAACATGTTACAGTTATCCACAGTCTGTTGTCCTTTGCGTTCCGCTGCCATTACGTGGTCCAACAGGGCTTTAAAGTGGTCTTGCAACTCTGCTACTTCGTGATTCTGATGAGTTGTAATGGAGCATTTGTAGCAAACTGCTGTCAAGCATCCTGGCGCGCAACAGAACAGCTCGAGCTTCTTCTTATGTTCGAAGCAACTCAGGCTCTCGTTTACTTCCCGTTGCTGTAGCTTTTCTATTATCTGAACTACTTTGAAATCTTGAGGCAGATCCTCAATAACGAGCCCCTCGAATGTCGTCTTACATGACGGACATTGGAATGCGTTGTTGGAATGGGCATCCTTGTAGCTCATGCCCATTTTAGAGGAGGAAGTAACATTGTTGTTTTGGCATTGTTTTGACGACAAAATCTGTAAACAAGGTAAACAAAAGGCATGCAGGCAGGGCAGACATCTTGGGTCGTTCATTTGGTTGCTACACAAATGACATGTAATCAGGTCTTTGAACACGTCCATTGCTTCAGTTTAAGATTTTTTTATCCTGAATTTAGCAGATAAACAAGGTTAAAATTTTTTTTTGCGTTTTAGTTGATTTGAGTTGGTTGGTTGACAACAGCGATTAAACACAATGCAGCACAGCCAATAAGATTTCGTCGTCACACGACAAGACTAGATGTCGTTTAATTAATACAAGAAAGACCGAAACGAAAGAAGTTGGCTCACAAAAGACGCCCAAAACAAATCGCCAATAGCACAGAACCTGAAAAAAAAACAATTTGGAACCAATTCCAGAAGTCTAAGAAAAAGAAACATTCAGTCTAACGTTTCATTCCATAATTGAAAAAACATACATACGACTATTTTTCTTAATAAAAAGCACTTGGATTAATATAGTTTAATGGAAATAAAATAATTATTCAAAATAACATACCGGTATAACTAAATTTCAATAAAACACCTTCAAAGAGAAGGTTAAAAGGACAAAATGGATCTCTTTAACTATACACCAATACCTTTTGTACCAAGTATAGAATAACGACCCCTGTAAAAGATTATATCAATGGTTAAGCATATGCGGAATTCTTACTTAGTAGCAAATCCCCCTTTCACAATGGGGGATACTTAAAGAGATCCGAGAAGATATAGAACAAACAATAAGACTGCTGTTGAATGTTGCATATGTTAATTCATTGTCATTTTGAAATACATTTTGATTATCAATTTTAACAAAATATTATTCGCATTTACCACACACAAAACTTAGTCATAAGAATGATCTGTCCTTTTTCCGCGTTGCTTCCGCAGGTAAAGAGTTCTTGCTTTGTCATTTTCACTGAACTCCCCCTTCATTCTCTCTTTCATCGTTTTTCTATCGAGGTTTGAAACTCCAGTGGCACCTGGTTCCGACAGGTCAAAGATGGTTCTTACAGTAGGGTTTACGGCTAGATGCTTGTTTACACCAGTTCCTAGGACCTCTTTGAAAGCCTCGTACAACAGATAGCTTGAATAAGAATTAATGACCAAGGTCTCTTTTCCAAATTTCACTACTTCTGCTTTGAAGCTTTCTCCATCCATATAGGAAATTGCTTCCCGGAGCGAAGACTTCTGCGCTTTCTTGTCACGTTTGCTCACAACATTGCTACCTTTTTTAGATAACTCTTCGAGTAAATCGTACAGATCTTCAAACTTTTGGAACTTTCTAAAAACTTGCGCTTCTGGATTATTGAACGTTTCGTAAATAAGAGCGACCATTTTACCAGCACCGAGTCTCAGTTCTTTGTTATCTTGAAACTCCTCGAAGATTTTCAGCACTCTGAACAATAGCTTTTCACTGTTTTCGACTATTCTTTCTGCTCTGAATTGTATCGCCAAAACACACCAACTTTCGAAGGCCCAGGCTACTAGTGGAACTACTTCTTTCTTCATTGTTCCACATACCACTGTTTCCAAACTGTCCAGAAGATTGCCATCATCTTCGTTATCCAGACTGAAGAAAGAGCAGAGGGAGAGAATATAGAAAAAGCGACCTCTGGACTCCATTGAATGGTTCACATTATTCGACGCTGCCAACAGCCCTTTTCTTATCTCATCTGCATGAGTCGACATTTTATCCGCACCCAGTTGCACAAACAGCAATAGAAGCAGATTGCTGGCTAACTTGGACTCTGTTTTCTTACCCTTTGTAAGGCATTTCAATGCCGCCGAACAAAGTGTTTCAGACAAGTTTTCTAGCAAATCAGGCACGAAAGAGGAGGACAAGATAGAACATATGTAATTAAGGGATTTCTCTCTGTCACTGGCTGTTCTGCTTTCTAGCAAATTAATAGAATCTGAAAATTTCTCATGCAAGGCATCCACTGCTGAGGAAGAGCTTTGATCTGGGTCCCCAAGTATTTCGTCGTTTGATAACACACTTTGCATGTCACTTTCCGAACAGTTCGTCTCCACCTCGTCGTCTTGACTGTCTGCCGAGTAGTACCCATGGCCCCCTTTACTTGCCTGAGCCTTGCTCCCACTTCCATTAGGCTTGCTGCGCTTTTTACCCATGATTTATCATAATCTTTGTCTAAAAAAATCTAAGAAAAGAAAATAGACTACTACTTCATCCTTTCAAAATCCCTTGCATTGAAGCCATACAAATCGTTATAAATCTCCAATTATGACAGGAAAATGGAAGCAAACAATGGGTAACTTATCCCACTGACAAGCACAGGACGCGATCAAACGCTACTTGATTATACACAGCAGTTGATTTGTGATGGCAATGATTTTACTTCAAATCGGTACAGTCATTTATTCCATGCTTTGTCAAACTCGGCTGACTCTAAATGCAGAAAAGTCAAGATAATGCTTACTATTACTCCTCTCACACTATGCACTTAATAAAGTGTAGAAACACAAATTACCGCAAGTTACAGAAGCATTGTTCTTTATTTTTATCACTAAAACATCGTGATTTGAACCGCCAGCTATCAGAATCGATAGAGCTTGACAAATTTAATAATTGAGTCTATTACTACTATTACTACTACTATACACAGCAGTTGATTGTTGAGCTTACAATCCACAGATTTCATATATTCGATTTGCTTGACCTGAGAAGGATGACATCTCACTTTATTAATAATGAACAAACATCTAATAGTCGCCATTCAAGATTTATTTAAGCTTAACAAAAAAATAACTCAGCAAATCCAAAAGATTGCGTTGGATTGTTATCAAAATCGATTAAAAACATTTTCAATTTTTTGAAATATTGAAAACAATTAAATTATATCAAATAAGAAACTTTCATGACCGTCATGTCCTTCAGATTATTAATCTAATTTGCAGAAAAATGTAATTGGCCACAACATTTTAACCTCAAACTAATTCTTCTTTTGGAGCAAAAACCGATTATATTTTCAGGATCTTATTGACTACTTCTGCAGTTTTCAACGTTAATAGAAAGACACCGTTTTCGCTGGCCTACTCGCTCGTTTTACTTTCTGGAAACTACACTAAAACTCGACTTCAAACCGGTTTTTACCAAAACTTCGCAACTTTTTGAAATTTTTTTACACTCGTTCAAATCATGACTTAAATGGCTTGGGTTGATGGACGGATAGCGAGTTGGATGATGAATGGCTAGATAGAGAGATGGCTTGATGTACGAACAGATGCATGGTTAGCTGAATGGGTGGTTTGATGAATTACTGGTTGGATGCGTTGCCTTGCTCTGCCCTAGCCTACCTTTTCCTTCCTCGCCCCTTCTCACCCTGCTCTGCTTCTTCTCGCCTAAGCCTGTCTTGCCTTGAACTGTTCTACCACGTGATGTCTTAACCTGGCCTTGCTCCACCTCGTCTGGCCCTGTCTAGTCCCTTGTGGCCCAGCCCTGCGCTTCTCGCCAGGCCGTTTATTGCCTTACCCTGCCTTGCCCCTCCTCGACCTACCCTGCCTTGTGCAGCCTTACATTGCCTCCTCGCCCTACCTTGTCCCTTCTCACACTACCTTGTCCCTTCTCACACTACCTTGTCCCTTCTCACACTGCCTTTGCCCCTCCTCGCACTGTCTTTCACAGCACTACCCTGTCCCATCCTCGTCCGGCCATGTGCAGCACTACCCTGCCGTGCGCCTTCTTGTCTTAGCCTACCTACAGCCTCCTTGTCCTACCATGACTTTCATCTCCTTTTCCTACTCCCTTGCTCAGCCTTCCCTTGCCATGCCGCTTCTCGCCCCGCGCTGCCCTACCCTTCTTAGTCCCCACCGCTCGCGTTGCTCTACCATGCCTTGTCACTGCTCGCCCAGCCTTGCGCTGCTCTGCAGTTCATCAATCTGCTTTGCCTTGCGCTGCCCTTATTTTCCTCATCTGGAACTGCGCTACCCTACCCTGTCTTGTCACTCCTCGCCCTGCCTTGCCTTTTCTCGACCCGCCTTTTCGCTCATCGCCCTGCTCTTAACGGCCTTGTCTAGCGCTGCCCTGTCCGGTTTTCTTCTTTTTAAGCTGTGCAATATACGATAAAGCTTTAACGTGCTAAACTTGAAATTTTGTTCGTTTCTGAATTTTTAAACATGAGACATATTGTACACCTTAAACTTGGGGAGATAGGCAGACGCATTTAATTACATTTTAGATAGATAGATGGTATTTAATTTCTTACAACTTTTACAATTTAAGAACAAGTCCGAATAAAGTAGAATAAGTCAACGGACTCAATTTAGCTGTGACGGTTTCGAATTTACGCCCAGGAGATTTGGAGTTGCACGTCCTCGTATATGAGCCATATTCCCTTGAATCTTACTAACACTAGCCACCGATAAAGCAGCTATAAATGCATCTAAAATGCCAAAGCTATGCAGCAAAAATGGCACCAGACATAAATTTACACACATTTTGCAAGTAATAAATTGGAATATAAAAAGTTAAAGGCATCCACTCTAGTTTTGCAGGTAAAAACTTAGGGGGTATGAAGCCAAATTATGTTTACATTATGCATTTCAAAAAACGAAAAAACGCAGGAGAAATTGACTTGAAAAATTACTGAAATGGAGTTTTTAATGTCGTACTGTTGTTTGAAATAAAGTTTTTTTTTCGGTTCAATTGATAAAACAAAAACGCATCAACATATTTATAACTAAATGGAAAGGCACTTGCAATTAAAATGCCAATTCAGTCTCCTGCTTCAAAAATTTTACCTAAAGTAGCACTAATGGCACCAGACATAAATTTACACACATTTTGCAAGTAATAAATTGGAATATAAAAAGTTAAAGGCATCCACTCTAGTTTTGCAGGTAAAAACTTAGGGGGTATGAAGCCAAATTATGTTTACATTATGCATTTCAAAAAACGAAAAAACGCAGGAGAAATTGACTTGAAAAATTACTGAAATGGAGTTTTTAATGTCGTACTGTTGTTTGAAATAAAGTTTTTTTTTCGGTTCAATTGATAAAACAAAAACGCATCAACATATTTATAACTAAATGGAAAGGCACTTGCAATTAAAATGCCAATTCAGTCTCCTGCTTCAAAAATTTTACCTAAAGTAGCACTAATAATTGCGATTTAGGTTCGAAAAAAATATTAGCGTACTATTACACTACGCAGAGAAAGTAGCGCAAAAAATTACCTTCAAAAACTGAAGATCACTTATCTAAGAGCCTTCAATGATGCTGAAACAAGCAGTTGGTTTCTTCAAAAACAGCTTCAAATCATGCTGGACAGTTTAAACGTGCATATTGGAATGACAGAGACTTGCTACAAGCCGTTCTAAATCAAAACTAAAACAGGCGCAGGTTTAATGATGAACTTGGTTCGATAAGTTTTATTTCAGCAAATAATCTATGTTTAGTATAAGCCAAGAACTGGAAAACTCAGTTAGAAAAAAAAATCCAAAATTTTAGAACAGCATTTATTTCGGCCAAAAGTATAGGAAAAGGGCTCTATTTTATCAACTTCAACTCATTGATTACCATATATTTCGAAAAAATTATATACAGAAGTCGAAACCAAGTAAGCTGTGATTTATGCTGCAACATTGCTTTGTATCCAATCCAAGGGAAAGCAACTATCAATATGTCCGTTCTTCTGAGAAAAAGATTAATTAAGGCGAACAGAGAATCCAAAACTGTAATATATTTTCGAGCTACTGAACACGTCACGAGCTCGTAAAACTCTATTTTCTTTCTAATTTCAGCGGGAAGATTTGAAACAGCTCGACGAATGTCGCAATGATTCGAATGCCCTGACACCCCCAAGGAATCAAATGTAACAACAATTTTCAAATTTTGAATGTTTCTTATGTGATGCAACACTGACTCCGACACAGATGATGGATTCCAATTTTGGTGTGGATCGTCAAAAAAGCTGTCTGAATTGAGGCAATAAATATTCTGCCGAGGAAAATTAAACACAGATAAGCTATTTACAAGTTCAATTTCTCTAACATCTCCCCTGCCGTAGTAGTTTCCATTGGTAAGGCATAAACAATGAAGCTCAAAGTTCCGCACCGCAAGAAACTGGAGACAAGGGCTAAAAAACATACATTCATCATCGGGATGAGCAATTACAACCAGAGCAGCAGGTTTTGATCGATGCGTAGTCTTAAAATAACATGAAGTAACAAAAATACTAACAACGAAAGCTGCAATTGTCAAAACCATGTAAGTGAGACATAAGATAACAAATTCCATCTAAAAACAGAACAAAATCAAAAAACCCCGGAAATTGTTCGCAAGGTTTACTTTCATGTTTCAGTTGCGTTTATAGGGTAAAAGTCAGAAACTAAATCTATTCAGCAACTGTCCATAAAAGCAGATGCATAGGTACAGTAGAATCAACTTTGTCGAAAGTTCAGTTTTCAAGAGCGCAAACAATTTTTTATAAGAACAAAGATAGCCGGTTACTGTACAAACAGCAGAGAATGTTCCGAAGATCACCTAAACAATTTCAACTTTTCTTCAAAGTAGTGTTAGTTTTTGTGTGTCGTGTGAAAAAAGGACCTGAAAAAAAACACTTATAAATTAGGCGGTGGCCAGTCAATAAGCAGAATGGGTCCAAGAGCAGAAAAACAAAAAAATATCAATTTTTACAAACTAATCGGTAAATTAAGTATAAGAATTGTCAAAATTATCAAAGAAACGAATATTTTATACACAATTTGAGTAAATTAATCAAAATTAAAAAAAAAATTCAATCAGAAAACTTAATGAAACTATTCAAGTCATGCTTAATCTATTCATTTTCTTGGTATTTTTGACGATTCTAATAATTGTTTTAACAATTAGCCCGTATAAATCAACGTAAGTCAAAATTTTTCTGTTTTTCTGCTCTTGGACCCATTCTGCTCTTAGATCATTCTGCTTATTGCTCCGCCTCCCGGCATATTTGTGTCATTCGACCAGGATGCAGTCTGTTATTGAAACGAAAAATGAGCATAAGTCGGGAAATCACAGACAAAGGACGTTATTTGCATTACGAGTTGAGAAGTGAAGGACGGACGGTTACCTAGCAGTATTTAGACAACCGCGTATTCAGACAAGTCAGTATTTAGACATACTGTTTTAACCAATCAGTCAGAATCGAGACAAGGAAGAAATTAATTAATAATTATTATTTAATTTGGATTATTTCTGTCTTATCTCGATTCTGATTGGTTCATACAGCATTTGTCTAAAAACTGACGAGTATGAATACGCGGTTGTGTGCCATTCTGCCAGAAAGGCACAGTGCAACCTTCCGGCGACACGAAATAGAACGAATAAAGGCCTTAGGAACGAAAAAGTATTGCGAAGGAGGGTAGGAATATTCTAGAATTTTTATTTCTAAAATTTCGATTGAAGAGTGGATATTTCTCAGAAATACAAAAAAGACGGCCATTTTGACGAAAAAACAGAAGAACGACAAATATTGTGGAAAACGGTCGCACAAGAGACGAAAAATACGAAGCCTCTTATCGTATTTTTTCGGACCATCACGTTTCCGCGTGTTCTGCATACAAACAGAACATGAAGGCGATAGGCTACTTTCTCGAGGACGCCGACGCGACCGACGAGGATCACGAAGAGTACGTCAGAGGGCTCATCATGAAATATGGTCCGAGGTGATTCTTCTGTAATTTGGAGGGACACTTCAAGTCGGATTGTACTCAATTTTGGGATGCAGTGGCGGACGCGAAACATCCCCGCCACAAAGAGGCGATTTCGGGTGTCAAGGCCAGTCGAGCACGTCTGATGAACGAGGCTGAGTCTCGGAGAAAAGAGACGACACCGAGCACCTTTACGACTAAGAAGGTAAAGACACTGCCTGACCAGGGATGTCGAATACTCGGATTTTTTGATATTCGTTATTCGCCGCGGCCCAACTATTCGATATTCGACTTCGGCCGAATAGTGCCCTTACTATTCGGATTCGGCCAAATGTTACTACTCGAACAACTATTCGGATATTTGGTTATTTTCCCAAAAAACTTAGCATAAAAGTTTGATACAACAAATTCTATAAAAAGTATTGAACATAGCATTTTTCAAGTAGAATTGGCTGGGACTTGCGTAATAATGTAAAAACTATTTAAAAAACTCTATTTAGAAACTCCTTTTTATTTTCTATACTCGCACTCGGCAGCGACATCAGACTCTTCTACATTAGCCATCTTAAAAAAAACAGAAAAATATTGTGAAACAAAACAGTAAACCAATATTCGGAATATTCGGGTTTTTTAGCAGTGGACCCTGGATTATTCGGTATTCGGCAAAAAAAAAATATTCGGATTCGATATTCGGATTTCAAAATTTTAATATTCGGATTCGGCTTCGAAGTGCCGAATACTCGGTATTCGGGTCGAATACTCGGATTCGAATCGATATCCCTGTGCCTGACGAGGTGGTAGCCTCGAACCTGGAGGCAGAGTCGTCTAGCCCACTCAAGGTGGATTACGGCCTGGCGGCAAAGACAGCGCTGCAGAATGTCAAACAGGACCTGGCCACGAAAGAAGTGGAGCAATGGGTAAGGTCGGAGCTGGAGAGCTCAGATCTTCGGGAGTGTTTTAATATTCTGGGTAAAACGACGAAAGTAGAAGACAAAGAGGAGCCCAGGAAACAGGGACTAAAACTGAACGCTATATCTGGGAGAACCTTCGGCATGACGAAGGAGGGGACGAAAATAATGTCCATTATCTCAGTTGCAGGGCACCAGGTGGTCAAGAACTTGAGTGAACCATCAGAGATTACACTAGTCCACCTGGACATCTATGCCGATTACCTGAAAGAGAAGGATCCCAAACTGGACTCCAGGGCAGTGCGAGCGCTGCTCACAACAGGAGGCCCGAGGCTGATGAAAGTGGTTGGACATAATATCGATGTCCATGGCCCTTACCCGATCCTAATGAATGTGGATGGCATCAACATCTACACAAAAGCTCACATAACTGATGCGAACGATCAGATTGGCCGGATATTAATTGGTCAAGAGGAGCTGAAGGTTAGACGAATCGGACACAATGCGAAGCTCGAACAAGATGCGGTGCACATAGGCTGCGAGGCCGATCTGGCCGCACACGTGCTGGACGTGCAAGGCAGACAACTTTCAGTAAAGGGACTGCTAGACACGGGAGCAGTGGTTAGTGTTATGCCAGTCAAAACTTGGACCGACATGGGTTTCGAAAGGTCGGATCTCATACCGACAATCATCAGGTTGGCAGCTGCCACTCAGGGAGCGATCTATGTGACTGGACGAACCCCGATCATTTCACTGCAACTCGGAGGAAGACATCTTTGGATGAGCTTCCTAGTAGTGGAGAATTTGGACGAATCCGATCAGTTCATCTTAGGAAGGGATTTTGTGCGCAACTTTGATGTCACGATCGATCTCTATGACGGGTTGATTAGGATCAAGGATCCTGAGAGAAAGTATGAAAAGAGATCCCTTAAAAAGATCTTAATTAACCAGGCCAAGGTGCCGATTTTTCTGGATCGAAAAGTTAGATTAAAACCAAACCAAGCCGTAGTAGCGACGTTTAGGATGAGGAACTTGAATGAACTCAGCAATGACAGACAGATGTGTCTGGTACCAAATCCAAACAGTAAAAGCTCGGCTATTTTAGGAAGAAGCTTCTCACTCACTCCGAGCGGACTGTGTGTGAGTGTGTTATTGAACACAGAAGCAACAACAGTGACAATACAGAGGGGAAAGAAACTTGGCTATGCTTTGCCTCTGAACACAGACTTTCAAAGTGTGGAGAACTTGAAAAAGTTTGATGTAACCAAATTTCCATTGCATGCGAACCAAGAATGTATAATGAAGAGAGTGAATGAATTGAAATCTTCTAAGAAATTGTTTTCAATGAAGTCGGAAACAGATAATGGGCTGTCTAGTTGCTCCAACCTTCCTGAGAGGCCGACAGAAGCAGAGTTAGCAGCGAATAAACCAGTCCTACCGGAGATAGAACATTTGAAGGGTAAAATATCAGACAAGGAACTAGATTCGCTCAGAGCGGTGCTAAATCGGAACGCAGACGTTTTTTCGAAACATAAGGCCGACATAGGTTGCTGTAATTTTGTAGAACATGAGATTGAGATAGAAGAGGGCTCGGTACCTCATAGGGAAGGGGCGAGAAGAATGACCTCAAACAAGTCAGAAGCATGTAGGAAGGAAATCGAGATGTTAATGGAGTACGACATGATCGAGCCGTCGAAGTCCCCGTGGGCTTGTGGCGTGGTCATGGCGAAAAAGAAAGGGGGACAACTCAGATTTTGTTGTGATTTCCGTTATCTGAACGCAGTGACTATAGAGGACGCATACCCGATTCCCCGCATCGATGAGAGCCTATCCAGGCTGGGAGACGCGAAGTTCTTCTGACGTTGGATCTGGGCTCTGCGTTCTGGCAAGTGCCACTCAGAAAGCAAGATCGAGAGAAAACAGGCTTTGCGTGCGAGCTGGGATTGTTCCAGTGGAAGAGGATGCCGTTTGGAGGATTGTGCAACGCGACGGCCACATTCCAGCGACTGATGGCCCAGGCACTCACGAGCGTCACTAAGAAATACGGGAATCTCATCATGTGTTATGTTGATGATGTCGTGATTGCAACACCAACCTTAGAAGACCACATAGAGAGGTTGGAGGAGGTGTTTTCTTGCATGAAGCAGGCGGGTCTGAAATGTAAACCCTCTAAGTGTGAAATCCAAAGAGATTCCATTAAGTATCTGGGCCGCCTGGTGGACAAACATGGAGTGAGACCAGATCCTGAAGCGGTTGAAGCGGTGCTGACCTGGAAGGCACCTAAAACGGATACACAGCTGATGAGTTTTTTGGGATTCGCTAATTATTATCGAGAGTTCATCAAGGGGTATGCTGACAAAATATACCCCATGCAGCGGTTGATGAGAAACAAGGGCAAAAAGTTCACCTGGACTGATGAGGCACAAGTTTCATTTGAGAACATCAAACGTGAACTTTGCGAGGCACCGGTCCTCGGCATGCCAACAGAGAAGGGGATGTTCGTGCTGGACACGGATGCATCAGTGGTTGCGATATCCGGCATACTTCACCAGGAGCAGGAGTGGAACGGGAGAACGGTTCTTCGTCCGATAGCCTACGGGAGTAAAGTCCTGAGTGATACTGAGATGAAGTATGGCGCACCAAAAGCGGAGATGTTTGCGGTGATCACTTTCGTGGAAAAATACAGGGCCTACATGGTGAGTGCTCCCTTCAAGTTACGTGTGGATAATCGTGCCCTTGCCT